GAAAAAAGATGGTAGTGCCATTAGAAAGAAGTGCGGAGGGAGATGACCATGCTGTGAGTTTGTGCCTCCATTCTCCCAGCGACTTTTAGGGACTTCTTATTCCAAGTGTTTTCTGCATTTTCTTTGCATCAGGCTTCCAGCACCACATACCTTGCAAGCCGAGATCCTGGAACCCAGGTGCCATCTTTGCTTTGTGTTTCTGGTGTAGCCCTCTGACCCTGACTGAAAGTGAGAAGAGGAAGGAAGGATCCAATAGGATCTGGATGAAATTCGAGGCAGGAGTCTTTTTAAATTATTATTGTTATTAACATTGTATTATGTGATACAGTTTTATAGGCACTGGGATTCCCCCCACCCCCCCAACACCCCTCCCCTCCAAATGGATTCCTCCACCTTGCTGCATAGCCACAGTTAAGTTCAGTTGAGATCCTTCATTGCAAGCATATACCTACATAAAGTCCACATCCTTATTGTCCAATAAGTTCATGGCCTCTTGGAACCTTCTTTGGTCTGAAGGTATAGCTAACAGAGTAAGTTCTGGTCAGTTAAAAGCCCCAACAAAGCATCACATCAATATACCAAACGTTTATTGAATTAATTGACATAGTATTGATTAACAATATTTAAAAATAATGCAATTTCAATTCTTTCAAATCATCTGGGTTTGAGACAGTTATCATATGACAGTCAAAAAATAACAAACAACCAAACAAAATTACAGTTAAATCAAGGCAAAACATGTGTATCTAACCTTTTGGGAATCGCTCTATTCCCTTAGCATTATAGTTTCCATTGGGCCCATTTAGCCACAAAGAACTGCATTTTGTTTTTTTAATAGCTGAGTAGTATTCCATGGAGTAGATAACCATAGCATTCTTATCCAATCTTCTGCTGATGGGCCATTTCGTTGCTTCCATGTTTTTGCAATTACTGATTGTGCAGCTATGAACATAGGGATGCATGTTGGTTTGTCGTGAAACAGGTGTTTTGGATATATTCCTAGGAGTGCAATTGCTGGGTCATATGGTATGCAGATTTTGAGTTGTTTGAATGTCAGCCAGGAGTCTTGAATCATGTGCTAACAGACCATGTTATCATCTGTGCACAGGAATGTGGTGTGGGCCTTAAAGAAGGCTTGGGATTGTTGAACCAGGACATGGACCTCAGAACTGATGAGTAGCAAGAGAAGGGATGATCCCAGGATAACATAGCTTGGGCTGGAAACCATGTGTGTGCTGTTGCATCAATATAATCAGGGTGATTTCTTCCAGCTGTGCCCAGCAGCGTGCAGCTCAAGACAGGAAGCTGAGTAGTTGGGGGCATGCAGAGTCGGAGCTGGCTGTAGGTCATGAGTACAAAGAAGGAGAGCATGGGATGGCAGCAGGGTCGAGGGGGAGGTTGGGTTGCTGGAGAGAAGGTGGTTCTTGTGCTTGGTAAGAGTTCTGGCCTGGGTAGGGTGGGGCAGGAGGCCAGAAAGACACCACCAAGTGGAAGGGGACAGCAGAAGGCAGGGTGAAGGCAAGGAATGTATTTGGTGGGACAAAGGAGGTTTCTTGGGAGTGAGTAAGAAAACAGAGGGAATAGAAGTTGGCAGGGGGAAAGTGAAGACTGCAGGTGACATGGTTGCAGGGGTGTGACTCAGGAGTGGGCTGTTCAAGGAGAATTGAAGTAAAGGTAGGGCTGGAGGAGTGGTGAGCAGCTCATGGAACTGGTTGGCCAAGTGCAGCTGATGGACCATCCACCGAGAAAGGGTTGAGAACCAGGCTACACTCCCTGCCCATTCTCTATACAGAGCAGAGAAAACTCTGCTGTGGACTGCTTACTTGATGTTGGAGTATAAAAAGCAGTAAATTATAGCTGAGCATCTGCTAGAAGGTTCTGGACCTCCAGGGACATGTATGTTTCTCAGAGGCCCATGACTGGATTCAGCCAGGCTACGGGGGCACCCTTGGCCAGCTGATGGATAGCAGACTCAGGCTTTCAGAGGCATACCTTGAAACTTCCAAAAGAATTATTCATTTGAGAAGCAGAAGATAAGAAGGAAATAGAGCACTTCCATCTACTGGTTCACTCCCCCCAAAGTGTTCCTCATGGCTGGGGCTGGGCTAGACCAAAGTCAGGAGATAGGAACTCAGTCCAGGTCCTGAGAGGTTGATGGGAACCCAATTTCTTGAGTCATCACTGTTCCCCCTAGGGACTATACTGGCAGGGGTCAACTGTTAGAATTTGGTACTAAAAGCAGACACTCTGAGATGAGATGTTGAATGTCATAATAGGCATCACCTGCAGCAGCTAATGCACTGTACCAAAAGGCAGCCCCAAGTCTCCAATTCCTAACCAATTGCTCAGATAGTACCACCTGCATCCCTAGGCTCCTACCCACCCTTACCACTTTGATGCAGGCAGATGCCAGACATCTTGGTAACAACAGTGACAAACTTTGGAAGACAACTCACAATTTATGAAGTATTTCCACAGCTTGCTTTGCTAAAAATTATGTTCTGTAAAAGTGTTCAAGTGTTACATGTTAGTCAAAAAATTTGTTTTAAAAAGTCCATTTGAATGTAGAATAATGATGATCAGAGGCAGGGAAGGAGAGGGGTAAGGCAGAGGGAGGTTGGATAATGGGCCCCCAAATGTGGCTTAAATAGCAGCTACAAGTTCTAGGATTCCACATTGGTATAATGAGGTGACCAGTTTGCAATAGTCCATTATAAAGCAGAAGAAGCAATGCAGGAGCATGTGCAGGCACCAGGCAGGTGGTCAGCGGCTCAGGCCTGCACACCATACTGCAGCAATACTGAGTTCAGAGACCTATACACTTATGGGCACAGAGGCTGTGGATTGCTCAGAGAAATGGGTATGGGAATGTATGGGATGCAGGGTTGCTGAGGGAGTATGTTACAAGTGAGGAATGGAATGACTGATGGGAAACTTTCACCGACCAGACCACTGCACTTAGAGGTAAATGAGGTGGCTGGGACCACGCGGTTTGGAGGAGGGAAACCAGAAGACTTTTCAGAGTTGGACCAATGCACCCACCCATGTGGGAGACCTGAGCTGGACTAGTCAGTATCAACCACCACCCACTGGTACACATGAAAGCTAGGGCTTGGAGGGGAAGGCTGCTGCAGGGCTAGAACATAGTACCCACCAGTGAATGTTAGGGCAGGAGTGGAGCACATTAGGCCACTCATGACATTAACTAGCATGTGAGAGAACATGGTATGGGGATAGACTCTGGCGGATTGTGGGCTCATCCTTGTGAAACTGCCATACCAGCTGGTTCACTTGAGGGCTGCGAGTGGTAAGGGGCCAAGCTAGGTGTAACCACGAAATCCACTGACACTCATGGGTACTGCAGTTGGGAAGAGGCCAGGTGGGTCCAGGCTGCAATACCTGCAGGCACACCCAAGAATGGGTGTGGGGCAGGCCAGGTCTCAACATCCACTAGCACACACAAAGGCTGAGACGTGGGTTGGATTGTGCCTGGTAGGAGCTTAGCACCCCCTATACCATGTGTGAAATCCAGGTCTGGGAGTGGGCCTGGTAGAATTTGGGGAATTCTCCTACTGGGCTATAATGCCTGCTGGTGAGCACAAGAGTCAAGGTTGGGTGTAGGCCAAACCAGGTAAAACAGGACCAAAATGTAGCACAGTGACAAGTGTAGGAGTATAGGCATGCCAGATCAAACTATCACACCTACCAGTTTGCATGAAAGCCAGGGGTAGGGGCAGGCTGGGCCAGGCTGGGCCAGGCTGGTTGCAATTTCTAATGGAAAGGGCCACGCCTGAGAAATAGGGCATGCCAGGCTAGGTCAAAGCAACTACCAGCACACACAAGAACTGTGGCTAGGAGTAGGTTTGGTAGGGGAGTTAAGGCTACTCCCTACCAAAGTGGGCTGAGGTTCCCACTGGTGAACATAAGAACCAAGAATTGGAGTAGAACACACATGGCTGCAACCTCCTTCGGCATGTGTGTGTGTGTGTGTGTGTGTGTGTGTGTGTGTGTGTGTGTGGCTTGGTCTGGGGGTTTGCCCATACTGGACCAGGCTCCAGCACCTGCTATTGCTTGTGAAAAGCCAGAGTGGGTGTAGGATGGACTACACTAGGTCACTGTACCCACTGACCCACATAAGAGTCATATCTAGGGTGTTGGCCAGGCAGGACTGGGCTATAATACCCACCTGTGAGAGCTGGGATGGGTATGGACTGGTCTGGTAAGATTGCACTACCCACCAGTGAATGTTGGGAATAGAGGTGGGCCAATCAATCTGAACCAAAATTCCCACTGGTGTGCGAGATCTGCAACTGAGAACTGACCTGTTAGGGGCACTTGGGGAACTCCCCTGTTGAGAGGCAACCCTGGTGGTGAGTGCAAGAACTTAGGCTGGGGGCAGTACAGGCTGGGCTGGGCTACAGTACCCATCAATATACATGTGGATCAAATATGCAGGTGACCCAGACTGGGCCAGTCTGTAATACCTGCTGGCAGGTGCAAGAGTCAGGATGTGGTGCAGGCCAGGCCAGTGAGGTGTACTTCACTTACACTTCAAGCATGCATGTGGCATTCAAACACTCAATCCAACTGCTGGTGCCTGGGCTAGTGAGAACTCTCACACCAGGAATGCATGGGTTGTGGGCTTACAGATCAACCTACCACAATGAAATGGCAGCAGCCAGGATAGGAGCCAGCCATCTCGTTCCTGCCCTTGCTCTTGTCTTTCTCACCACACCTTTCCGCCCTCCACACCCAGGCAGCCCAGTCTAAAATTAGCCTAACTGTCCAGATCCCTTGAGTTATTTATACCCAACTCTGGCCACCCACCCAGGAGCCAGCTTGGAAAGGAGGCTCTCTCTTGTCCTTGGCTTTGGCTGCTGAGTCCTGATGACAGTCAGGCCTGTATGCCCAGAGGATGACAGCGTACATGGTGCAGCCTGCCCTGCCTTTCACCTACAGAGAAATGCCAAGTGCTATGAGTGTTTTCTTTTAATTTGCAGAAGTTTTCAACCCCGATCCCGGGGTTTGCTGTCCCCTGATGGAAAATTATTCCTCAATTTGTGGTTCCTAGCACACCCTTCTGAAGTGCTGGTTATGTTTAGAACTCTGCCAGAAAAGGTTGGTATTTTCCCTGTGTGTGTGTGTGTGTGTGTGTGTGTGTGTGTGTGTGTGTGTGTGCCAGAACGGACACTGGCTGGTCTTTGGGTCTCACAATGATGCAGGCACCTGTGGTTCTAGCTGGTGGCGTTTGCATCTCATGCCCAGGAATGATGAGGACACAGACAAGGAAGCTGTGCAATGCTGACTCAAATGAAGGAAAAGTTCCCACAGAGCAAAAAAAAAAAAAAGGTGGGGTGAGGTTCCTGAGCAGGAAGGCTGCTGGCAGGAGGGGGTCTGAGAACTTTCATTCTTTGGAGCTTTGGGAAAGTTTTACACAGAGGCCTTTAAGCAGGTTGTGTAGTGTCCTTATATTCTCCCCAGCCTGCTGTGGGCTCGTCCTGCTCCCTCATCTCTTATTACTCCCATCTCATTAGTCTCCAGTCTCCAATCCTTATCCTTCATTTTTCCCACCTCATTAGTCACCCTACCTCGCCTTTGGTAGGCATGTCTTTTTCCACATAAGCTCTTTTTGGATCGTACTTTCTACCACAACTGAACTATTATTTCAGAGAAATTCTCTCTTTCCTCTTTCTTTCTTTGGTCTAATAACTAAAATCTTTTCCCAGCAGCTGAAACTTCTGCCTGCTCCATTATAATTTCTCTAAGGTCTCATTATTTCTTGAGTTCTGTTTTCCCCTGATTATTAAGAAACACCAATTCCAGCTTTTTACAGCCCTTATTAGTTCCCGATTTCCTCCCAAACCCTTCAGGAAAACTCCAGCCCAATGTCCTGAAGTCAATAAGAGGTTGGGATACCACTTTTGAGCTATCCAGTTAACTCTCCGGGGTTGTTCAGTGTACCTGTTTCACCGAGCGAGTAATATTGGTAACCACGCACAGAAGGAATGGTTGATGGGTTTTTGGGCTGTGGCTAAGACCTCACTTGAGATACCTGAATTCCATATCAGAGTGCCTCTTTTTCTACTCTTTCCTCCCCTTCCCATTCAGCTTTCTGCTAATGCACATTGTGGGAGGCAGCAGGAACCAGCTCAAGCTCTTGTGTTCTGCCACCACTTGAGACCTGGATGGAGCTCCCGGCTCCTGACTTCAGTCTATTCCAGCCCTGGTTGTTCCAGGCATTTGTGGAGTGAACCAAATAAAATAAAAAATAATCATCAAGGTTTTTTTTAAGGGATATAGAAACATGTAAAATCCTCACCTAAGCTCAACCATCCCTTGGTGTCCATGGGGCATTGGTTCTAGGATTCCTCCAGACACAAAAACCTGCAGAAATCAGATAAATCTGCATATAGCCCATGCACATCCTTCTGTGATGTATAAATCAACTCTAGAATATTTATCATGAATACTACAATGCGAGTGCTATGTAAACAGATACTACATTCTATATTTTAGAGGATAAAGACCAAAAAATTAATGTCTTCACTATGGATTCATTTTCCCCCCAAGACATTTTTGATCTACAATTGGTTGAATCTGTGGACGTGAATCCTGTAGACATGGAGAACACATTATGTCTGTTAAGTACATACAAGTGCAATGTTGAAAAATGACATTTTGAGGATCTTCTAATTTTTCTTTCTAAACAGAAAGCTGCTTAGCAACCTGAGTTTCTCACCCTTTCATGGAAGAATGTTCTGTTTTTGAAAAACAAAAACTCTCTTCTATAATTAGAGCATGACTACACTTTCCTTCCCTTGGGTTTTGATATTTGAGCACCAGTGTTTGGCACTGAGTCATGTGTTAGTTTCAGACACATTGATAAATATCTATGCTTTGTTTCTGAAAGTGCTCACTCAGGACGGTATTGTCTGAATAGGAGTCACTGCAATGCCACCTGCGATGCACTGATGGTCCTACAGGCACATTTCTATATATTCACGGGCTTTAACACCATCCACAGGAGTTCCTCGTCCAAGGGCTTAGAACCCTGGTTCATGACTCCATTTGCTATTTTCTTTCTCAGACACTATTTACCTCAGATAATATTTAATGTTCTTGTAAAAAGATCTTGTTTCTAATTGATGCTTGCATATTTTCGTCTGTGTTGGAAGCGCTCTCAGACTCATTTCCTTGTATTGATTTTACCCAAGGCAGCCTTCAGAGCCTTACGGCTAACTCTACAGCTGGTGGCTTCTCTGCATGACATTGTGGCCTACCTTTTCAGTTTCGCTAAACTGGGCAACTGTCCAACTTCTTTTGAGCTTCCTCTGAGTCCAAGCCCTTGGAGAGGTGACTGGGGAGGACTGGAGGGCATTGGTAAGTGATTAAGGAGAATGAAAATTACCTTTATTATTCAATTGCAATTCTGTGAAGCCCTTTCTATTTTGGAAAGCAAAACTACACTATGTCTTCTCTATTAGACAGTGATGAGAAGGGAAGAAACGTCCCATTATGCACTGTCTCTGAAATATGTTTATCTGACTCACATGTCTTGGCTAAACCACATAGTACACTAAGTCAGGAGTCAAATTTTCATCCTTGTTTTCCACTTGATTATTGGAAGGTGAGCCCTCCGTGCATCTGTGAAATAGGAGTAATAATCGCTATCTTAGAGAAATGTTCTGTAGGTTAAAATCTACGTAAATATTCAGGAAAAAGTGTAATACCCTGCTAAGGATAGATTTTATTTCCTGCCCATTTCCTTGCTGGCCTTTGTGAATTTACATGGCAAGGCTGGGGCCAGGAAGCTGATATTAAGAAGTCACAGCCAGGGTGGGCATTTGACACAGGCATTAGGACTCCACTTGGGCTCCCACATCCTATATTGGGTGATAAGGGCTCAAGTCCCAGCTCCATTGCTGATTCCAGCTTCTTGCTCATGCACACTCTGGGAGGTAGGAGGTGATGGCACAAGGTTCCTGCCATCAAGTAGGATATCCAGCTTGAGTTACAGGCTCTGGGCTTTGGATTGGCCCACTGGGAATTTAGGTGTATGAACCAGTTATGGGAGATCTCTCTCTTTGTCTCTTAAATCAGTTAACAACAACAACAAAAACAAAAGTGCAACCAACAACAACCTGATTTAGTCTGATAGTAAGGACGACCAAGGCTTTTGTTTTGTTTTGTTTATTTTTATTGCAAAGTTAGATAGACACAAAGGATGAGAGATAGAGAGGAAGATCTTCTGTCAGATGATTCACTCCCAAAGTGGCCTCAATGGCTGGAGCTGAGCCAATCTGAAGCTAGGAACCAGGAGCCTCTTCCAGGTATCCCACTCAGGTGCAGGGACCCAAAGCTTTGGGCTGTCCTCGACTACTTTCCAGGCCACAAGCAGGGAGCTGGAAGGGAAGCAGGGCTGCCAGAAATTAGAACTGGTGCCTATATGGGGTCCTGGCACGTGCAGGGAAAGGATTTTAGCCGCTAGTCTACTCTGCCAAACCCAAGGCTTTTGTTTTAACCATCCAGTATCATTCAAAATATTCTGACTGTACCAGATTATAAGATAAAATGTAGAATTTTAATATCTTATAGTATTAATAAGATACTGGTTTTTTTTTTATTTCTTATGTGTGTGATTGAATAATAGGCTTATCAGATGCTGAGAAACCGATCTTACTTGGATCATTAAAGTCACATCTAGATGATGTCACTCATCATTTCAATATTTATGAGTAGCAAAATAAGATAACCTAACAGTCATGTAGTTTAAAGAAAGGCTCAGTGGCTAAAACCTTGCCTTGAGTGTGCCAGGATCCCACATGGACACTTGTTTGTGACCCGGCTGTTCCACTTCCCATCTAGCTTCCTGCTTGTGACCTGGAAAAGCAGTAGAGAATAACCCAAAGTCTTATGACCCTGTACCCCAAGGGAGACCTGAAAAAAGAAAAACTCCTGGCTTCTGCTCGGCTGAGCTCTGGCCATTGCGGCCTCTTCGGGAGTGACCAAGTGGATGGAACATCTTTCTCTATCTCCTCTCTAAATCTGCCTTTGTAATAAAAATAAAAAATAACTCAAAACAAAATAAAAAAGAATGAGAAGAGCCTGAGAAATAAGTTCATAGTCAGACTTAAACCTGAGAGTATTAAAAACAAATGTGGTGTAATTGAATCTCTTCACCTTTGGCTGCTGCATATAAGAAACAGGTTTGTGGAAAACCCTGAGACTGGTGGCAGTAGATTCCCATAGCAGTCAATGGTAGCATCTGTGATTATTCTGTTAAGGAGCATACAGTGGTCAGTGGGGAAAAAAGTTGATGCCCAAATGAGGACAGGTAACACTGAAGGAGCAGGTTGCAGCCACCTTGGCAGAAAGCAGAGAATTCTGGTTGAGCTATGAGCCACAAACTCTCCAAATATCAGTAAGTATTCTAGAGAAGCATAAAGTTGCAAGAGGTCCCAGGCACTTGTCGTCCTTTTCTTTGTTTAATGTGAGGGATGGTTAGCACTGGGTCATTGCTCACACAACGAGCTAGGATGCTCCCAAAGGCTGAGTTCCCCACAGGCACAAGAGAGAGAAGCACAGCCCATTGGGATGACAAGGCAGGTGCTGCCTAAAGGTGAGAGAAGTCCCAAGAGTCACAGCTCCAACTCTGTGTGGGAACCAAGTCCCTGCAGAGAAGGCATGTCATAGCTGGGAGCAGACAGTGGGTGCCTGCAGGGTGGAGGGGGCAGAATTGCAAGGGCTGGGTCTGGCAGCAGCTGCTCAGACTGAAGCACCGACCAGCTTGGATTAGAGGAGGCTATATGAGGGACAGTCCTGGCAGGCAGGATTGCAAAGGGTCCATCCAGAGGCTGGAACCCACCGGATGATGCTGAGGAGCCAGAGCTGTGGGCCCTGCCTGAGTACCTAGAATTCTGGGTGAAGGAATTGGTTCTTGCTATTTATGAAAACCACAGAGTTGTGTGAGGCCCACAACCAGGGCAAGTGCCTTGTCATGCTGCAGAAATCCCAGGTGCACCAGCAGAATGTGCTCATGTTGCATGTTCTGTTTTGCTATGCATAGAAAGAGTGAATAAAAGAAGATCCAGTCTAAGACCATCACTTTTTTCCAAAAGGTTCTCATTCAGGGCCTTGCTCCCAGCAGAGGAGAACTAGGTGAGTCAGGAATCCTGAGTCTGTCCCTTTAAGAATCTCAGAGCTCTTTGGAGATGGAGAAAATGACTATGATGGCCATTTGAGGCATTTTACAAAGGGAAACTCTCAGGGTTTCAGCTTTTGGTCTTCCCACTCCACTAAGGCAAGCAGCTCAGCGACACTGTGGCCAGGCTCTGGGGGGTTCACCCAAATCTCTTCTACCCCCAAACCCAGTGACTCCCCTTCAAGTGCGTGCGAGCAGAGGGTGTCATTGGAATGTGGAAGCTGGAGGTTAACCTAAGCCCACATCCTAGGCACTAAGCATTTGAGGAACTCAACAAACCCCCAGGCTCTGAGTATCCACCTGACACGGGCTCTGTGTCTCCTATCTCTCTCTGACTTCCCAGAATCATGGAAAAAAGATCCCTTTCCTTACATTTTCCAGTTTGGGTCATCCTCCATAGCCCCCACTACCACCACCTCACCACAGCTGCCCCAGGAGGTGAAGGGGCTCCTGATCCTACTTCAATTTGTCCCCTCCGCTCCATGGCACCATGACCCTACCATGAAAGGGCAGCCCAAGACAGAGTCATCCGACTTCTGCATCTGTGTGCTAATGGTAAATTGAAATCAGCACCTAACACTTTTGCCGAGAAGTGATTGTATGCAAAAGTATGCAAGCAACACTGTAGAACCAGAAAAAAAAATTATTAGAATCAGTTATAATCCCAGCACTCTTATGTGGAAACATTTGCGTTCATCTTTGCTCCCCTCGGGCCCTTGCCCAAACATGTTTCTCACTCTGATTTCACAGAGTTCGAGGGGAATACTGTGTGATTTGACATTCTCCCTGTTTCAGTGTGTTTGGAGAGGATCAAAGACCATTTTCAGGGCTGGCATTGTGATACAATGGGTTAAGCCACTGCCTGCACACTGGCACGCTGTGTCAGAGCACCCATTTAAGTCCCAGTTGCTCTGCCCCCCTGCTAACACCTGGGAAAGCAGTGGAGGATGAGCCAAGTGCTTGGGCCTCTGCCTCCTCATAGGAGACCCTGGCCTTGACTTGGCACAGTCTCAGCCATTTGAGGAGTAAAGTAGTGGATGGAAGATCGCTCTCTGTCTCTCCCCCTCTCTGTAACTCTGCTCTCAAATTAAAATAAATAAACCTAACTGTATTTGTGTGTATATATATATATATACATGATATATATATAATATATATATAAAATAAAAAACATTTCCCCATGGTTGTTTCTTCACTTGATGAAACACTTTGCTTGTTGACCAAACACTAGGCCTTGGTTGAATGAGGCTCACTGACCACCACTGCCTTAAATGTCTTGTCCAGTTTGCTCTAACACCACTCCTCTGCAGAGAGTATCTGTGTGTGTGTGTGTGTGTGTGTGTGTAAGAATATATTTGTAGCACAGTAAAATAACCATATTTTAGAGGAGTTATAAAAAATGTTTGATGTTGGGAAGTGTTTTGGGGTGCTAGAGCCAAAAACTTCTGTGGTAAAACCATTAATGTCCTATAATCTCAAAAGGAGACAAAATTTAGACATCTTTTTCTGAAGTGAAAAAAATAGCCTGCAAGTACTGCAACCCTTCTCAGCGTGGTTCCATCCTGATCAAGGTCTCAGGGACCCACTATCCTGGGCTCTCCTAGCTGGGGCATGCTAGAGGGAGGTCCAGTGACTGGGCACTGGAGAGGCTGTAGAATCAGAGAAACTCCTGGAAATGCCTAGAGGGTCCCTCATCCCACTGTTGTTGCCTTGGGTATGGTCCTGTGTCCTAAATCAGGATGGTCTTCCTGTCATGTTGTTTGATAGAGGTTCAGGCAGGCTGCCATTTGGTCTCCCTGTGAGCATGGAGCCATCAGTGCTCTCTCCCAAAAGATATGTGATGGTTTTCTGTGTCCTCCCATTGTGAGCAGCCCCTTCTCTATGCCACTAACAGAGATGCTGGGACAGCCATCCATTCCTCAACCTGGCAAGGAATGCCTCCGAAGGCCTCAAGGTGAAATTTCCACCTGAGACAAGCACAAGAAGGATGTTTGGGGCAGCAGTTAAGATGCTCCCAGGGATGTGTCCATCTGATCACCAGGTGCCGGCTCTGCTATCAGCTCCAGCTGCTGCTAAAGTGCACCCTGGGAGGCAGCAGGTGTTGGCTCCAGCAGTTGGGTCCCTGCCACCTACCTGGGAGACTCAGACTCAGTTCCTGACTCCTGGCTTCTGCTTAGCTCGGCCTCAGCTGTTGCAGGCATTTGGAGAACAAACCAACAGGCAAAAGACTTTCCCTGTGTGTGAGTTTATGTTTGTGTGTGCTGACTACCTGCCTTTCAAATAAATAAAAGTTAAAAAAAAAAGATGTGTAAATTCACTTACATCCAGTCTACTCTTATCTGCAGAAAGGATACAAGAAATAAGCTAAATAGATTTCTGTCTGACACCCCCAAGGTGAGCAGACTCCTAGAAGGATGAGTAGCAGTATGCACACCCTGTTATGTGGATACATGGATGCATGCGTGCTTTTCCTCTGGACTGCCTGCACCCGTGAGCATGGCGAGTACTGCTCACGGTCCAGAATCCTTTGCAGTCCCTAGTGGGTCTCCTGATGAGTCCACCTCCCTGCCCTTTGTCATTTCTCTTTTGCCTTCTATTTTGAGACTGTGTCCCTGCCAAGTTTAGAACTCACTTTAAAAAGCATGCTCTCTTGTGCCAAAAGTAAAGTAAATTTGTGTCTTCTCTCGAGGGTGGAAGGAAGGAAGGGAGGAAGGGAGAAAGGGAGGGAGGAAGGAAAGAAAGAAAGAAAGAAGGAAGGAAAAAGAAGAAAGAAAAAAAGGGGAGAGAAAGCAGACTTCATGATTCAAAGCAGAGGGCTTTGCTGGCCTCAGCACAGCCGCAAGAGGCAGGGAAATCCACCTGGGTGATAAGCCAGCTTTGAAGAGGAATGATGATGCTGTCAGCTTAGCTCCACTTGTCTGGATGTCTCACTGTGATGAACATGCTGTCCCTCTCATAGGGTCTGAGCTGCGGGAGCTGCAGAAAATGATTGACAGCCTCCCAAGCCCCCAGGACCCGGTCCAGGTTTCCCAGGCCCTGCTCCTCCAGAGGGAGATCTTATTGCTGCAGTTTGATGCTGCCGTACGGCACCGCATCCGGTAAGCATTGGCACCAAAGGCTGCTGCACAGGTGTTTGCTGAGCCTCCATCAGGGGAGGCCACTCTTGACAAGAACCTTAAGTAACAGAGCTTAAAATAGGGGCGCAGCCTGCACCATGACATAGCAAGCTAAGCTTCTACTTCCTGTGTCAACATCCCATATGGATAACAGTTTGAGTCTTGGCTGGTCCACTTCCAATCTACCTCCCCGCTAATGGCCTGGGGAAGCAGCAGAGGATGGCCTAAGTGCTTGGGCTCCTGCATCCTCCTGGGAGACTCTGAAGAAGTTCCTGATTCCTGGCTTTGGACTGGTCCAGTTCCAGTCATTGAGGCCATTTGGGAAATGAACCAGCAGAAGAAAAGATTCTCTCTCTACTAACTTTGCCTTTCCAATAATAGATTAATAAATCTTTAAAAAAAAAAAATAGGGCCATGACACAATTGAGAACCCTGTGCCTGCCACAAACCCTGCAGCCCACATGGTGGGGGTTCTTGCCAGGGAATAATAGCCTTAAAAGAAAAAAAGATTTATTTATTTTTATTGCAAAGTCAGATATATACAGAGAGGAGGAGAGACAGAGAAATATCTTCCATCCAATGATTCACTCCCCAAGTGATCGCAGTGGCCAGTACTGCGCCGATCTTAAGCCAGGAGCACAGATCCTCTTCTGGGTCTCTCACATGGGTGCAGGGTCCCAAGGCCCTGGGCCATCCTAGGCCAACCCCCAGGCCACAAGCAGGGAACTAGATGGGAAACAGGGCCGCCAGGACTAGAACCAGCGCCCACATGGGATCCTGATGTGTTTGAAGGCAAGGACTTTAGCTGCTCGGTCACCGAGCCAGGCCCAACAGCCTTAACCTTGTCCAATGTCATTCCTGATCTGTTGTTCTATTGCACCTGCTACTTTCACTCTTCAGATTGCTTTGTTGAGAGGAATGTTTTTATCATTCTGAAGATTATTATTTCTTTTTTTCTCTTTTTTAAATATTTATTTTTGATAATCTTACATAATTGATTAAGGTACAAAGGGTCAAGGGCTATAGGAAAGTGGGTAAGACCATTATTTCCACACTAATATCATCATTTTTTCCCCCTGTGTCCGTGGTAAAAAGAGAAACAAAGGGAAAAGCCCCACCCAGCCTCCCACCCATCCCAGGTCCCCGATGTGGGACAAGCTCCAAGGGTCCTGCTCAAGCAGTTTTGATAGTTCAACAGTTCTGAATTGCTGCCAATCTCGCCGTTGAGAGTAAGCAGGACTTGCACCTCGACTGTGGATAAAGAAACCAAGTCAGGAGGGGAACTTGCATTTGGACCATTCATGGCCCTCTTGGTTTTGAAGATGACCTTCTCAAAGGTCATCTAGGTCTTCTATAGGTGTTTGTGAACCATCCTGACCATTAGCTGGGAGCTGCTGTGGGTTAGCAGGGCCACCCGCAGGCCTCCTCTGGTGGTCCTATTCTTCAGTACTCCTCCTGGACACCTACCTGTGGAGTCCAGGACACTTCCAGGACTGCCTTTCACACTTCGAGGGTCAGCTGGTCTCCAGAGGTCAGCTCCTTCCCAGTAGTGTGGACATTGGTCCCAGCCATTGCTAACTTCTCTCTGTTCTTCACTGTAAGCATGGACTTGGGGCACACCCATTGAGTATCCACGCAATAGGTCCCTTCGGCTCTGGGACCTCTCCTCCACCCCACAAAATATCCTCTGTCAGCATCTTTTCTGAGACATCCACTAGAACTAAGCTCTAGAAATCATCTTTCTTGGCTTGTTAAGCTCTCATTTCCTTTTGGGCAAGAAAGTCATCCTAATTTATCATGCATACCATCTCATCCCCAACTTATGGTATACATTTCACGCTCTAGTCTTCAGGATTTGTGGCTCTTGATAAACAAAGCACAACTTTGTTTAATACAAAAATCTTTCCCTTTCAAAACCTGGGCTGTTGTGATTTAAGTTTAAATTGCCTTTACGTAATAAGAACAATTGTTTCTGCTATTGACCTTAAAATAGTCCATTCTACAGTCGATATCTTTGTTCTAGAGCTACAACAGTATTGCCCAATGCTGTATTAAGTTAATATTAAGTTAAATGAAATAAGGTTAAAAATTCAGTTCCTCAGTCATGGTAGTCACATTCCAAGTACTCAACAGTCACATGGTGCCAGTGATAACATAGTGGACAGTGAAGATACTGAACTTCCCTACCTACTGAAGGTTCTAATGGGCATTACACAAATGGAGTACATCAGCCTTGCAGAATGAAGGGCAGTGCATAAGGCAGTGTGAGAGGTGATATGGCTGAGGAAGTAACTGTTGATATTTCAAAATGAGGACCAGCATCGTGATGCAGACAACTAAATCTTTTTGATGGCATCCCATATGGAAGCATTATTCACGCTCCCTGCTGATACCTGGGAAGGCAGCAGAAGATAGATTCTCTCTATATCTATATCTATAATATAGATATAGAGATATACACAAGTGTGTATATTTCTACCTTTCAAATGATAAATACATCATGTTAAAAAACTCAAAATATTATCTTGCTACCATAACAATGAAGAAAATTTTGAATCTTAGCTCCTGAAATAACAATTTTTACTGACATTTCCCTCCTCCCCATACTTCATAGAAACACATTTTTGGCAGCTGGAAATCTGCCTGCCTACCAGTCCATCACAGCTGGCATGCACCATGGGCTGCCACCCCTGAGCAGCTCTCTCACAAGGAGCATCTTCGCTTCCCAGCTTGGTCTGCCCCCGCCTCTGGATCCCCGGAGCCCCCAGGTGCGTAGTAGAAGTGTTTCTACATCCCCCATGAGATGCACCCAGCACAGTCTGTGTTATCCTCCAGTGCCTGGGGACTCCCTTACTTCCTGCCTTGGAGCAGTCTGGTCTCCCGGGATGAGGGTCTTGTCTTCAAAGTTTCAGCTAGCTGATCCCTGAACTGGTAGCAAAACAAGCTCCTCATCTTTTCTACTGAATAAATAACAATAGCGATTATGACAAATAAATTAGGTCAGCCAGTGAGGGTTGAACAGCCATGGTTACAACAGGTGCTCTCCGGCATAAACCTGGGCAGGCACAGGGTAGCCACCTGCTACAAACAAGATCAAGGTCTCAGGAAGTCATAGCAGCACCAGGGCACCGACCATGTTTGACCCTATTGCCACATAACTAATTCCCCTCATACCTAGCAAATTAAGATATAAACATTCTTAATCTCACGTGGTTTCTGGAGATATGGAAACCAGGAGAAGCTTAAGTGGATGATTCTGGCTCATGGTCTCCTACAAGGCTGCTGTTTGAACGTTGCTGGGGCTTCAGTCACTGTAGCAGTTGACTGGAAGAGCCTAGCTTCCACTGTTTCCAGGTTCATCATGTGGCTTTTGGTTGGAGTCAGAAGATCCACTTCCAAGCTCTTGTGCACGTGTCTATAGGGCTTCTTCAAAACATGCTTGGCTTTCCCAGAGTAACAACAACAAAAATCTAGAGAACCCACAATGGAAGCCCCAATCTTGTATCGCCCTTTTAGAAATGTCCTCTCACTTCTGTCATATTCTATTCACTGGAAGCATATCACTAAATCTAGCTCATATGCAAGGTGTTAAGGTGGGTAAGGGAAGTTATTGAAGATTCTGTGGACTTCTCTTTAAAAAAGAACCTCACTAGCCCAGGTATTCTGACTCCAAATTCCCTAACTTAATGGTCTAATGTTACCCAACTAAGCCAACTGGCACCAGCATCGAACCCAAGCAAATCCCATTTTACACCTTCCATGGCTACACAGAGTGATTCTTGGCCGGTGTCTGGCCACCATTGGGACCCAGAATACAGAACTGGACTGTGACTCTTGCCTGCCCTGCTGGCTTTGTTGTTGCCTTGGATGCAGTGGATGCTGGGGTCCTGACTCCCTGCTACCAAAAACAACTCCAACTCCAGGTCTGGAGATGTAGAATGGAACCTGTTGGGCAGGCCCACTAGCTCCAGGACAGCACATGGTGCCATAAAGGACATGAGATACACCGGCTGTTCGACAATGATGCTCTAGTGTTGTCACCTGAATCAAAGTCCCATGGTGGTGAAGGACACCTTTTTGAGGTTCCTAATGTTGACAACATCTGAGTAAGTTTACTTTTGCTAATTATGAGTATGCCCCATCAGTATTACTCTACTCTGGAACTTATGAATATGAGGGCTGATTCCTTTCCCAAAAACCAAAAAACACTGAGATGAGTTATTATACTGTCCCCTAAACTATCCATTAAGAAGTATTTCTAAAAACCCAAAAACAACTCATGCAACTGTGTTAAGGAGCGCAGGCACAAATAGCTTAGTTCTGTACAGACATCAGTTACGAATGCACACCACACAGTATGACAATGGGTGTTCTTTGGTTCTTCAGGCAGCTGTGCTGTTCCCCTGTTCACTGCTTTCCAGGCTTGTGAATGGGTGCTGGATTGAAAGTGGAGTGGCCAGGATTCGAACTGGCACTCGTATGGCATGCTAACATTGCAGATAGTGGCTTAACTCACTCTGCCAGAATTGCCAGTTTCTTTTAATTCATTTAAATTATTAGCTTCTTTTAATTAGCATGTGTTTTCCTTTGACTGGCTAAGTAAATACTGCATTTTTTTCTAAAAATAGAAAATGTAGAAAATTCCATGTGAAAATCAGCCATAAATTTGCTTCCAGAGCTCTGTAAGTGGAGGAGGGCATAGGACTGCTGGTTGTTGCCATTCTGTGATGGAAACTACCCTGTTCGCTTTGGTATATGTTCAAAATTCTCCATAAGTGAATAATTTTTTTAAAAAATATGTAAGAAACATTTTTTTAAATTATAATTCTACCACCAAGAGACATTCACAGACTGTGTTTTGGGTGTGATGTTTTGGGTGTGATGTTTTTCCCAGGGCATGTGTATGTTTATATCTGCACTTCTAAAAGAAAGCTGATGTCGCCTTGTACTTTTGCCATGTACAGGTTTGTCAGAAGGGTGGGAAACAGCTCTTCCACACAGAGCCAACGTTCTGACAAGTGCAGGAGCGACTTTTGGCAAGAACTGCTATTTCTCCTTTTATTGGTTTTCTAGTAATAGTGAGAGCGGGGCTGGAACACATAGTGGCTCCTGGTTTTCCTTCCCCAGGACCACATGCAGAGGATGCAGAGAAGTCTCCCGAGTGAGCACTGTCTTCGGTTCTTTCAGCTGTGCCTCTGCGGGCTGAGTGACAGCGACCGCAAGGTAGCTTGCAGAGAGCTGGTGGGTGTGCTTCTGAACAGTGAGCCTGCGGTCCCTGGGGCTCCCCCAGATCACCAAGCCACTCCGGACAGACATCCACAGGTATTCCAGCCTCTGCTCACACTCACACAACTAAAGCCCTCAGCCACTGCCATAGGCCATCCCTGTTGGAGAGACCCAACTAGAGACCCACAAGTTTCCCCACAGGCTAATTCCCTAAGGCAGCAACGAAGAGGAAGAGGTAGCCTGAGAAAGCCACTCCCAAGCATTTTCCCGTGTGATAAGACCCAGGGCAAGTGGTCTATCCTTGTTTTTGTTTTTGTTTTCACTTTAGAAAGAGAATGAGCATCCAGAGAAAGTGATACTCCAACCAGATACTTTCCTTGTGAATCACGCCTTCCTGGCCACAGGCAGTTCAAAGGGTCAGAGGGTGTGATAAAGGCCCCAGGTGAGCAGCTCAGGTCAGGCCATCCTCCTCACTCAGCTAGTCTCTCTGACACCCAGGTAAGCACTCCCGCCTTTGCATATGCCCCTCACAGACTCTCAAGCACATTGTCCCACGGATCTCATACCTTTGAACAAATCTGCATGTATTTGGGAAGTAGATGAAGGTGAGCTGGGTGCTGGCTGGTGCTTACAGTTAAAGGGCTCAGCACTGAGGATTGCTGCCTCCCACCCAGACATGACTGGGTCAGGGAACTGACTCTGGCTCCTGATCCTGGCTTCTCACCATGGCAGACCCAGCAGTGAGAACTCAATATGTTGGGTATCCCTGTCAGGGAACTAGACTGTCAGGCCAGCCCAGCTGTTGATCATTTGGAAGTGAAGCAGTGAATAGCAATGTCTCTCTCTTTATCTCTCTATCACTCTCTATATATAAAATCCCCCGCCCCCCCCCCCCAGCCCTCTGTGTGCATATATGTGTAATCTCCCTGTTTATGGCTTGGGAGAGCAACGGAGGGAAGCCCAAGTCTTCCCAGTACCCATGTGGGAGACCCAGGAGAGGCTCCTGGCTTTGGAATGGCGCAGCTCTAGCCATTGTAGCCTTTTGGGGCATGAACCAGCAGATGGAAGATCTTTCTGTCTCTCCTTCTCTCTGTAAATCTCCCTTTCAAATGAAAATAAACACATCTTAAAACAAAACAAAACAAAACAAAACAAAACAAAACAAAACAACAAAAAAGCACCCAGCAATGGCTAGACCAGGCCAATCCAGGAGGTCAGAACTCCATCTGGTCTCCCAGGTGGGTGCCTGGGAAAGCAAGGGCAGATAGTCCAAATATTTGGATGCCTGCATCAATGTGAGAGATCTGTAAGAAAGAAGCTCCTGGCTGCTAGTTTTGGCCTAGTCCAGCCCTAACTATTATGGTCATCTGTAGAATGAGTCACCAGATAGAAGATCTTATTCTTTCTCCCTCCCTCCCTCTCTTTCTCTCTTTCAAATAAATAAGTCTTTAAAACAAAGTAAAAAAAAAAAAAAAAAAAAAAAACTTCTGAGATACACCTAAATCTATTATGTCCATTTCCTCATCTTCCATTCCCTTTCCAAACCCTGCCACCTGCTCTGTCCTCTCGTCACCACTGAAGCCACCCTCATTGAGAGTCACTAACCCCCAGACACACTCTAGTCACCTTCCTACCTCAGTGACCCCATTGGGGCCTCAACACTATCCTTGTGCCCTCACCTCCCCTGGGCCTGACTTGCTCAGCTTTCCTCTGCCCTCCCTGACCCACTCGCAGGTGCCGCCATGGAGCCCTCTGCCTCTGTCAGGCCCCTATCCCTTGGGCCCTGCCCCACTGCTACTTCCTTTGCCCCCCTTAGACTTCCACAGGCCCTGACACTTTAGTCTTTGTGGACCCCTCCCTCCACCACAAAACCCTCAGGAGTTAGAACTGACAGCTGCCTCCATATCATAGGTGAAAGCACTTAATTTACTGCAGAAGCTCTCTTTTCCTAACTCTCAAAGAAATTAAAACATTCCATGGGCCCCAGGCACAGCGCCTTCTCTGCCCAAGCTGTAATTAAGCCCCATTGGCTTGCTTACAACCATGATTGGTTAGGAGTTGAACCGGTTCCTAGTGCATGAAATGTCGATGTGTGGAATCCCTGGGAGGAATCCATGGGGTAAGTACTTTCATTATTGTAATTTTCCAGAATACCAAGATGCAGAAAGGTTAATTTATGTAACTAGGGAAAAGAGAAGCCTAATTCCAACCCAGCATGCTTGATCCGGAATCCCCTCACCCTAATTGCCTCTCCAATCCTCCCTCTGCCCAGGCCAATCCATCTGCTGTTAGAACTTCAATGCCATTTACAGGTGACTGCTCCGAAGTCCACAGGTCTGTCTCAGGTTTGACCCTAACACATTCATCTGTTCAGCTGCCTCCTGGACATCTCTGTTCCATCCCAGTGACCGCTTTGCCCACACTGAGTTCATTTCACTCCTCCAAAGCTTTGCCTTCCTGCTGTATTTCCCATCAGTCCATCACCACCTGCCCAGAAACCCAAGTCAAAAAGCCCAGGTAATATTATTGACTTCTCTATGTGCAGTTTATGAAGAATGGAATGAAAAGGTAAACTTACTTTGATGGGAAGAGCCCTCTGGGTAAGTCATCAGATTCTGTTGCAGAATTTATATGCCCTGTATAAACCCACTTCTTCACCCACGGATGGGCCTTAAGTGAACTTGTGAGTTCATTTTAGCCAAAATGATAAAATGTATTAAGAACCTTCTGGAAAAGATTGTTTTCCTCCTAGACAAAAAAGAGCCCCTCAATAAGAAGGCATTAGTGCTCCTGTTTTGATTGGACCAGGGTGCAGGGAAGATTTTACTGACAACCCAGATCTGAACTTGAGTCTTTGAGGTGACTTAGAAGTGTCTCCTTCTAGAATTCCCCGGTGGATGGTGGGCAGTCTTCTCCAAATGAAGTCATGGCTAATGGGAAATGAGGTAGCCTGTTACTCCTGGCAGTAGAAAAGGAGAAACTGGCTCAACAGTAGAAGCTCAGAAAGCGTTTCCTAAGGAGAGTGTTTGAAGGTTGAAAATAAGAAACAAATAGGAGTCCGGTGAAGAAGGAAAGATGGGGAGGCGAGAGAGATTTTCCACTACAGCCAGCATGAAGAGAGAGCCTCAATAAGGTCAAGATGTTTGTTGGGGTTTGGCTCCTTCCTTTGTCTTTTTCTTGGTCCATACTGGATGGACTCCCCTCTTTTCCTAACACTACCCTCCTCTACCTGATTTTTTAATCTGTTCCTTTTCAGTTGCTTTGTAGCATGTATGACACATCAGCAGTGTTGTGTCTAATTGTAAGTGGCTTTGTTTTATGATGTATGCTGATGTAGAGGCATTTAACTATTCATAAACAATGGAAGTACTAGTCTAAACTGCTATGTGTGTTCCTATCTCAGCTGTGCTGTAAGCTCTGTTGTCACTCTAGGCTTCAGTCCCCAAAAGGTCAATGTGAAGATGATAAGCCAACTTGGGTCCACTTAATATTCCAAGAAGCCTGTTGCTCCTCAGGGTTACCACAGGGCCTCTTGAACACGGGGTGCCAGTTACATGGCCTCTGGGCTATCCCACCACCCACCGTGCCACCATGCTTGACCTTAGTCTAATAGGTAATTGGGGCCTCTGCTTACAGTTTCATTCAATGGAAGCAATTAGGACATAAAATAAAATTTGAAAACCTGTGAACTTGCTGTTAACAGATCAACTGCAAAGTGGCGGGGCGGCCAGCTGCCTATCACTCACCGTCCCCTGGGACTTGCTTGTTACTGATTGCTTGAACATTCAGCTGGGCTCTTCCAGGCAGACACACCTTTCTTAAACTATGTTAATAGCACTGATCTGGGATCTGATTACACCTGGTTGTTCTTCCTGGTTCTAACCAGGAAACTTGAGTGTTTAAGATACTGCCCATGGAAGGTTCTCTGCGGCCCTTGTGGTGACGTCATACCTGTCTCCTGTGACAGACACTGCAGCCAGTCTAAGGGCCTAGATGCAGGTCCTCTGTCACTCTGTTGGTGGCACTACCACTTATACCCCTGACTCTTTGAGAGCATGGAGCTGACGCTTTTTCCTCCAGATCCTCCCAGGCTCAAGACAGCACCTCAGCAAGTATTTATTTAAGAAAAATGATCAATGACCAAATCATCATTTTAAAGTAAAGTTTCCTATTGAAAAACAAATTCAAATGAAGAGAAATGTTCTCTGCCTTTTTAAAAAAGATTTATTTGCTTTTTTTTTTTTATTGTAAAATCAGATTTACAGAGAAGAGGAGAGAGACAGAGAGGAAGATCTTCCATCCAATCAGTCACTCCCCAAGTGGCCGCAATGGCCAGAGCTGAGCCGATCCAAAGCCAGGAGCCTAGAGCTTCTTCTGGGTCTCCCACAAGGGTGCAGGCTTCGAGCTGTCCTCGACTGCTTTCCCAGGCCACAAGCAGGGAACTGGATGGGAAGCAGGGCCTTTAGTCAACGCTAAAGGTTACCATACCAAGCCCCTCTGCCTGTCTTAAAAGATAAGAGAAGTATCAAGAGCTAGGATAAATTTAGACTGCTATTTCCTTATCCATAAAATGGGTAAAATCCCCCAATGAAAAGTTATATTGTAGTAGCTGCACTCAGATGGAAACTTAAACTTGAGTATTGTACACTATGTACAATATAGATGCTAAATGCCCAAGGCTGAGTATTTAAAATATTTTTCTAAAGTAGAGTTACAGAGAGAGAGAGAGAGAGAGAGATGTTTCTATCCACTGGTTTATTCCCCACATGGCTACAGTGGCTGGAGCTGAGTTTATCTGAAGCCAGGAGCCTCTATGAGATGCTATTGGCGCTACAAGTGGCAGCTCTACCTGCATGCCACCACATAACCTTTTAAAAATATTAAAGATGTATTTATTTGTTTATTTGAAAGAGGAAGAGAGGGGGAGACACATACAGGAGAAAGAGGGAGGGAGAGGTACCCAAATGGCTGTAATTGCAGGCATCTAGACCAAGGTAATGCCACAAGCCCAGAGCCAGGAGCTCCATCCAGATCTCATGTGCAGCTGGGACTTGAACCAACACTTTGATATAAGTGCAAGCAGACAGCAGCCTAACCTGATGTACCACAACACTTTCCCCAAAAGGCTAAATTTTGTAAAGGTAGGTAAAATGTAGTATACCAGTAGGTGAATTTTACAAATGAATGGGTCAGGTGGGCAGCATTATGGCATAGTAGGCTATGGTGCCACTTACAACACTGACATCCTATCTTGAAGCCTGAGTTCCAATCTTGGCTGCTTCACTTATAATCCAGCTCCCTGCTAATGTGTCTGGGAAAGCATCGAAGGATGGTCCAAGTGCTTGGGCCCCTCTCATATTATGTAGGAGGCCTTGATGTGGTTTCTAGCTTCTGGTTTGGGTCTAATTTAGTTCTGGCTGTGGTGGCCATTTGGGATGTCCACCCTCACCCCAAAATGCTATACCTTTTAATACATAAATCTTTTTAAAAAATAGACACTCAAGATCTGGACAATACCTGCAGTGGAACCATTCCCATCCTTTCTGTACACTGCCTGTTTAGGATGCATCACCTCTCTAATCTCTGTGTGTGCTGCAGCCATTATTCCTGAGGAGAAATCTCCCTGATCCAGATTTCACTTTGTAGATGCTGTGTGATAAATATTATCCTGTATTTTCCAAGTCCCATAAGGAGGTATTTCTGCAATGCTTTCAGCCAAGCCGAATGGAAAGCAGCACCAAGACCTCCTTGCTGCCAGAGGCTCCACATGATGTGGTTGCCTCCCTGACTTTGCTGAGATCATTCCTGGTCCTGTGGAAGCAACTGGAAGTACTCAAGGAGCACTGGGGCCGACTGCAGCTGCAAGGCGGGGACATGAACTCCATCTCCCTCCACAAGCAGTTGTCGGAGCTCTATGAGTGAGTGTTGCTGGGGCAGAAATCCTCTCGGGGTTGATAGACTCCTGCCCCCTTGATCACAAGCAGCTTCAGTCCTTGGGTCTGGATGAGCCCAGCTCCACTGCATTCAGCGACAGTCAGCATCATTCTCTATGAACACAGCTTTCAGAGAAGAGCTGAGCTGTGTTAGTTACAGGGCTGGGGCCGAATACCGCAGAGCTGCAAAATTCTCTCTCTGGAGAGGTGGAAGCAAGTATAGAGTTGGTGAGAGCCATGGGCATGGCAGTCAGAGAGGCTGCACATAGCAGGTACAGTAGGAGGCCTGGGATCTGCAGGATGGCAGACTGCTGGCAGCTGCAAAGGCCTTGGCTACAGATGACCTGGCCTACAGGAAGGACACATAGCTTCTGCCCTGTGCCCATCACCCACCAGCTGGACCCTTCCAGGACTTGAACAAGTTCACATAGAGATCATCAGAACTGTCTAGTGAAGGGGTCCGAGTCAGTGTCCCTGGAAAGTAAGGAATGAGAAGATTTGGTGATAGAGGAAAAGACACTGGCATTTCATATTGACTCACAGAGTGGAGTACCGAGATGGGAGTGTGTCACAGGGGAGCAGGGAGGGAGAGGGAGGGCTGGGAGATTCATCCAGGATAAGAAACAGAAAGTGAATGAAAAGAATTGTCAGGACCTCAGGATGAGGGAAGCAGCATTTGCTAATTTCTAGCTCTCTTCTTTGACAGAACTGCCATTCTCTACCCCAGCATGAAAGCCATAGCTAAGCAGATGGGGAAGGAAGATGAATTTGAGGGACTTACCATCAACTGTCAGTCTATATTCCCCCCTCAAGGAGCCTCAGAAATGGAAATTAAAACTCAGCAGGTATGCAAGAACTATGTTGAATTTGCCTTTGGTAACTAGCTCTGAGGCGTTGCTGTGCCCAACTTCAGGACCATCCATTAGTGTTTTTCTCTCAGTGTAAAGTGAAGAGCTGCAAGTCCTTGGACAGGCTGGGAGAGTGAGGACTGAGTGCTTGAAAACATAGGAAGCTTCTATGAATCCAAGAACCAACACTTTTTCTCTCAATTCTCTACGTCTAGACATTTGTTATTTCGATTTTCCTTTCGTTGGGGTACACTGCCACGAGAAAGATGATAGAAGGCATAGCGACTTCTAACTTAAATGCAAGATCCAGTACAGAAGGACCTACTTGGAAAGGAGATATTTAAAATAACTCCTTGTAATTGTTCCTCTGAGACAACAAAGAGACAATTTATACACAGGTGCATTTGGTGGGTGTTGATGATGGGCATGGAGGAGCCATTTTCTACTCTGCTTGACTTTATCTCAGATGCAAGCTCTGTGAGACTGAACTGACTGTGACATGCAGGCAAAGCCCAGGCTGGCTGTCAGTGCACAGAGGGATACCCACAAAGTGACAGGAGAGCTGAGCCCTGACTCCTGCCCCCGGAGCAAGGCTGACCCTCCCAGCACCTGGGTCCCTCCAAAAGGGAGAAACATGGGCTGTGTAAGCAGAAAAGGTAGAGTGGAGGCTCACTGCAATTGGAACAGTCTTCTCTGGGTCCTGGATGGAGTTTTGAGTCTTTGTGTAAAATCATCCTTGGTATTGCAGTGGAGCTGCAAACCTGGGGGCTTGTTTGATAATAACAGATCGCACAATCCTGGCTGCCATCAGGACCCTGAAGGACAGGAGGCACTTGGATCACTGAGAACTTGGTCATTTTGCAGACCATGGTGATGAGGGTGGCATGCTGGCTGTCAGGAGTTGGGGCAGGCCGGCATGGGTCTCCAAGCAGGTGAATGTACCTCCTCACAGCACATGGAAGCCCCAGAAAGGAAGCCCCTCTTTTCCAAGGGCGGGAATGAGTAAGGGATAGACCCAGATCCAAGACTTTCTACAGAAATTACTGAATATGGAACCTGACTCTTGAACCTGTGCTTGTTCTAGCTTCAGAAACTTCTGGAAGATTTTGAAATTCACATGATCCAGGAGGTATTAAGCAAAGTTAACAGAGAGATGACACTGGTTTTGTCTGAGAAGTCCAAGAAAGAATGTACTCTCCCTACAGGTAAAGCTTGCTTGCTTATTTATTTATTTATTTATTTATTTTCCTAGAGAACGAACAGGCTATGAAATAGGAAACAGGTGGCACAGCACATTAAGTCACTTCTTGCAATGCTAGAATCCCATTAGAGTCCCAGCTGCCTTACTTCTGATCCAAATCCCTGTTAATGTGCCTGGGAAAGTGGTGGAGGATGGCCTGGGGACGAAGGCTCCTGTCACCCCTAGGGGAGACCAGTGTGGAGTTTCAGGCTCCTGGCCTCAGCCTGGTTCAGCTCTGGCTGTTGTAGCAATGTGCAGGGAGTGAATCAATGGATGGAAGGTCTCTCACTCACTCACTCTCCTACTTTCTCAGTTGCTCTGCCTTTCAAATAAGAAAAAGTAAGAAGTATACTTTAACTCTGCTGATTAACTTGTAACTGAACTAAGTTGCAATAAGGAAATTATATGAAAACTTTATAATCTATATTGTATATTATATATTTTAAATATATATAATATGAGGGGCACAAGTTCATAGAAATACATATTATAAAAAAATATATGCAGATTTAAAATATTTTGCACCAAAGAAAACATATCATTAAATTCCTTTTCCCATGACCTTTTTGAAGAACGCTTGCACGTTATAGATGTCAAAATCTTGTAGACGTAGACTTAAGGTGGGGAGGCCATGACACTGTTCCTTTCACTTGAGATCTACACTCAGGCCCACCTCATGTGACCAGTGCAGAGCCCCAACAGAACTTACATTCTGTGGCGATCGATTTGAACTTGATGATCATCATAGTATTGTTTAATCATTGAAATCCAATGAATCCGTGGAATATGTGCAAGGAGTATGCAGGCTTGGCTAATACCCACTCCCACCTCTTGCCACGCCCTACTCCCCAGGGGTTCTGCCTTCACCTCTTCCTCAGCTTTCCGGCTTCATGGGCATTCTGAATCTCACACTCCCTGGCCCTAAGCAATCACTGCTGTCCTCCAGCCCAGGTGAGGACTGGAACGCTCAGGGTCAGGTGCATGCCCCTAGCAGCAAGGTCAGGACTGCAGGCAGGCAGCACCATGGTGTGTTCAAGGGATCAGTCTTCTACCTGCCATGGCTACCTTGACTATTCCAGGACAGAGGTTGTCAGACCCTTGGCGCTTGCCTGTCCATGGTGGATGGGAGTGGAGGCTTTTCAAAAGTAGAGATGTCTAGCTCAGTGTCCCAGCCTAACAGCCTGCAAGTCCCGGGCCTTCATGCATTGCGTCTTGGGCAGGGCCACGGGGTGCTCACGGGGTGTATGTTCCCATGCCCAAGTGTGTGTAACATTAACACAAATCAAAGACACACAGGTTGAGAGAAAGAGAGATGGTGCATTAGTGCTGCTGGCGACACCTTTGCCTTCTGTTTGTGCAAGAGGTATTTTGCACCAGGCCCTACAGATTATAATAATCCTGGAGGAAAACCGTAACCTTTGAGCCTCAGGACTAAGGAAGTGAAGGAGGTGCTGCAAATGGACAAAGTCCACAGACATTGTTATGTTAATTAGTAACCTGGTACTTGCCCAAAGCATCGTCATTTCATGGTCAACAGCTGAGGGCTGTCAGCTGGGCTTGGGGGAAATGCTATGTAGACAGCAGACAGACCACTGTTCAGCTGGGGAGCTCTCCCTGTTACCCTGAGGATGGCTGGGCTCCAGGGACCGGCCACTTAGCAAGGCACAAAGCACCCATTGTCTGCACTATGTGTGCCCTTGGAGGCCAGCCACAGGCACAAGGCAGGTGTGGCCATCTGGGCTTCTCAGGGCTAGAGTGCTGAGGTAATACCCAAATGGGGGTGGGGCAGGAGGCTGCCTCAGTGGGGCACCCTTGCTAAGAGCGATGGGGGTTGGGCACAAGGCAGGGTTGTTACTGGCGTGGGTAGGTCAATCATTCCAACTTGCTTTGGTTACAGTATTCTGTCCAAGTCTAAACCCAAGATTGGATTTTATAACTTAGAAGACTTAAAAAAAAAAAAACAACCATCTATTTGAAAAGAGCAGAGTGAAAGAGAAATAGATCTTCCATCACCTGGTTCAGTCCCTGCATGGTCACAATCAGTAACCTAGAACTCCATTCGGATCTCCCACATGGGTGCAGGGATCCAATCACTTGGGCTGTCATCATCATCTTCTCAGGTACATTTGCAAGAAGCTGGATTGAAAGCAAAGCAGCTGGGACTTGAACCAACACTGCTGATTAGGGATGCTGGCTTCCCAAGCAGAAGCCTAATTTGCTGTGCCACAATGCCAGCCACTTATGAGACTTTTAAAAGAAATGCCGCTTTAGACGGGCAGGGCATGCTCTTGGTATTGCATTTTTGTTCTCTGGGTCTGTCGTGTGTGAGTTTATGCAGAGCCCTGGGATTCCTGCTCTACTTGGCTCCCAGTGCCAGGGACTGGGTGCCCACTGATACCCTCCATAACTTTGGGCCCATCTCATGCATTTTTGTCCTTTCAAGACGTCTGTGGGCTGGATTCCCTCGAAGGAGCCAAGGAAACCTTTGGGCCCTCCATCCATTTTGTGTCCATCTCAGCAACAAAAAGGGACTGTGGTGCTTGGAGCGTCTCTGTTTTTGTTCAGAGCATCCCCTTCATGGTCAAAGTTAGCTGGGGAACTGGGAGATTCCCCAGGGGTCACTGGGAAAGAGGAATGCTAGGAACCAGGAGGCTAGTAGAGGCTTTTGTCCTCCTCAAGGTCTCCTCTGTCTTCTGGCCAACCCAGCTGTCCACATTTATAGCTACCATAAAGGAGACTTCTGGAGTCTTCTGTCCCTCAATTTCCTTCCCTCCTATTGCCTTGTACTGGGGCCTAGTCTATGCCAATGGTTTCTGAATGGGTTTCCAGGTTGTCACCAAGCCACCAAAGCCGTGGCATGCAGACCTGCCCTCAGGGTGAGAGCCATAGAAGATGAACTTGAGCTACGCTAGGAAATGGGCTCCATTAGCTCAAAAAGCCTCTGCCAGCTTCTAACTTTATCAACATTGCCACGGCAGTGACTCTGAATTGGCTTGCAAGTGGTCTCTGAGCAATAACAAGACCAACAATTTCCAAAGGGAAATATGTACATCTGGGGAGGGTGAAAAGAAAACACTCAAACTCCCACATAGATGACGGCTGCACAGAATGAGGCCCACATCACACTCCATATCAAGGTGGCCGGAAATGAAGAAGAAACTAGTAGAAATGACACTTGTGATACTGGCACATGCTTATCCTCACCCACATTATGTGGTTAAGAAAGGAAGTATGATCGGGCCTGCTGTGATGGCTCAGGGACGAAGTGCTTGCCTTGCATGTGGTGGGATCCCAAATGGTTTGTGTCCTGGCAGCTCTACTTTCCATCCAACTCCTTACCTATGGCCTGGAAAAGCAACAGGATAAACCCTCCCTGCCACCAAAAAAAAAGACCTTAGGACCCTGCACCTGAGTGGGAGACTTGGAAGAAGCTCCTGGCTCCTGGCTTCTGTCAGGGCCATTCTGGGCTCTTGTAGCCATTTGGGAGTGAACCAGCTAATGGAAGATCTCACTCTCTCCATCAGATCTCTCTCTCTCTCCCTCCCTCTCTCCTTCCCTCCCTTTCTATCAGCTGGCCCTTCTTTAGGAGTGTGCTGTGGAATACAAGCTTGGGGAGACATTGATGGAGTCTATCTTCCAGCTACACACTGCTAACAGTCTCTGGGTTGCCCCCTGCTTTCTGCTGCTCTGGTAACACTAGCTCGGCCATGCACTCACTAATTCCAGTCTCTAATTTGTTTCTGTTTGCCTAACCTTGTTGATCCTTATTTGCTCCAAACCTGCTTGTACTGGCTTTAAGGTCACTGTGTTTGCAATGATTTAATTAAAAATGGCATACACCAGTGAAATAGGAATACAGCTAGAAAGAGATCTGATGGGCCTGTAAATCTAAGCTGAGAAGGCCACTACTGTGGCAAAGTGAATTAACCTGCTGCCTGCCATACCAACATTCTATATGGGCACTGGTTCAAGTCTCTGCTGTTCGACTTCTGATCCAGTTCCCTGCTGAAGTATCTAGGAGAGCAGCAGAGGAGGGCCCAAGTCCTTGGGCCAACATACCCACATGGGAGACCCAGAAGAAGCTCCTGATTCCTGGTTTTGGCCTGCCCCAGCTCTGGCTGTTGTGGCCATTTAGGGAGTGAACCAGCAAATAGATTCTCTGTGTGTGTATCTTTCTACCTCTCTCTGTAACTTTGTCTTTCAAATAAAGACAAAATAAATTTTGGTTTTTTTAAAAACCAACAAAATAATAAACTACTTGTCTTTGTTTAAAAAAAAAACCCTAGAATGTACAACTGCAAGAGTGCAAACCATGAATTTGGGGAGACGATTAGCACCCATGTAAGCTCCTTGACTGTGACAAATGCCCCATTCTGGTGGTGATGTTGACAGAGGAGACCCTGTGTATGAGTGCCCAATGGTTTCAGGAAATTCTCTGCTTTACCCCCTCAGTATTGCTGTGAACCTAACACTACTGTAAAAAAAAATTTTAATGTTTTTTAAAAATAAAGCTATGGAAAAAATAAGAAGCAAACTGTCTAGAAAAAAATTGCTAAATTGTGTATGAAAAAGGTAATTTTGAAAAGATCGGATAAAAGTGAAAAAAAAAGAAATACTGATTTTGCGTTTTCATGTTCCTTAAATTCTCTCTAAAAACAAACACAACTAGAATTGGTTGCGCATGCACACCATATCATGGTTTATGAAAAATGGTCCAGACTTCTGTTAGCAGATATATCCAAAGAAAACATGATTGGCAAGTGTCTGGAAAATTGGGTGCTTTGACATTAAGTTAAATGGTTAAGATAATACAGGTCCCTTACAGAGCATTCTCTAGTTTAACTGACTTTTCTTTTTAATTTGTTTATTGGAAAGTCAGATATACAGAGAGGATGAAAGACAGAGAGGAAGATCTTTCATCCGATGATTCACTCCCCAAGTGACCGCAACGGCTGGAGCTGTGCT